CTTGAGGCTCTGTCTCAAAAAAAAAACAAAAAACAAAAAACTGAAAATCAGTGAGGAAAATGGATATTTTTTAGATTTCAGTCTAGCTTAATATACAGAAGGCAGGAAATATACAGGAAAGCAGAGTTGTAAGGAGCAGGGACTTTAGAGATGGGAAGGGGGGGACAAGGTTCGTGGCTTGTTACTCCCCATCTCCAAATTCCAGATTCCCTCCAGTGCATCCATCCATTGGTTAAAAACATTAGTGATTTAATGGCAGCTTTGGGGGGGGGGGTACAGCTGTACAGATCAACACCATTGGTTCATATTGATTAAAAATATATCTTAGAATTAAAGAAATGCAGTAACACTACTGTGATGGTGCCTCCTCTGTTAAAAATGTGGTAACAGCAACAGTTACTCTTGTGTTGTTGTAGCAGTTCAATGAGATAGTACTTTGTATGGAGCCAGTGTGGCACCGGCCCCCCCCTCCCCCGCAGGCGCTGGCCCCCCGGTGGGCACTGAGTGAAAAGCACAGGTGACCGGCAGCTCAGACCACCTTTTCTTGGTGAACAGAGTCTTTAAATTCTTGCTAATCAAATCAAATGCAGTATCTACCAAGTACTTACTGGTACCTACTATGTTTCAGGTACTTAGGGATTCTTTGTGGGTTTTTTTTTGCAGTTTTTGGCTGGGGCCGGGTTTGAACCCACCACCTCTTGCATATGGGGCCAGCACCCTACTCCTTTGAGCCACAGGTGCTGCCCGGGGAGTCTCTATTTTTATGATAGTTAATAGTGAATTTTACTCTTCTCATGCTTGGAAGCTATTTGATACTTTGGTATGAGGAAATGTAACAATGCCTATAGGCTCACAAATGTGATATCTATTAAAATCAGGGCGTCTATAAAAGTCAATGAGAGTATTTTTTTAGAATAAATATCCCGATTTTTCTAATGTGATTTCATTCTTTTTTTTGCAGAATCTAGTTATCAAAGTGAAATAAGGTAAGTTTGAAATCACAACATTTTTCTAAAAACAGAACCAAACAAAAACACCCCCCCCCCCGTGGGATTTTAGGATTTAAGTTATTTGAATGTGAGCAGTGAAAACAACACCTACCCAATCACACCTCACAGGGCAGCACCATGGAAGCGCGGGGCCGTCTGCCTTGGACTTGTTCTGGCTCCCTAAGGAAAAGGCTTCCTTAGTGCTGGGCATTAGCAAGTCTGTCCACGAGAGGGCACTGTGCACCGTGCCTGCCGCAGCTCCTGCTCTGGGTGAGCCTAGGGCGGAGCCGAGGCCCTGAGCGGCTTTCTTGGGGGGGGAGAGCAGGGAGCCCAGCCGGACGCTGGCCAGGCGCACGGACCTGCCCAGGTGGACAGATCAGCCAGTTTGTTTAACCAAGTGTGGGGGGCAGGATTGAAAATTCCTCTCATTCCCGGCTACGAGAAGTAGCTACAAGCACTTTTAAGGCAACGGAGTCGAGGACTTATTCGGAACTGTATTCGGGAACCACGTTCGCCTGCGCACTGTTTCCAAAGTCAACTGCACCGAGGCGAGTGGTTTGCTGTGTGTGTTAGAACGACCGCATCTCAGCTTTCAGGATTTTATTACATAATTTAGATTTTTAAGTGCTGAGATTTTAAAATGCCTTCTGGCTACAGGGTGTGCGGGAATGTGCATCGTCACCTGGGACAGATACTGAGCGTTCCCCTGTGACCCTGGTGATCAGGGACCTTGGAGGGAGGACTCCCCAGAGCAGCGGTTTGAAGACGCCCCTCCTGGGAGGCCTGACCAGGGCCAGGGCGGGGCAGGAAGCTGGCCGGGTGTTTATCCTGGCTTTCCTGATGCTGCTTGGGTCATTATTATTGACTGTACCGTATCTTTTATTTCTCTTTCCTGGGGCCGTAGGTGATTCCAAAGCATAGTAAGGCCATCTTACTTAGCTCTCGGAGATAATGGGTACAGAGAAACACCGCCACCGATAAAAACAGCAGGCTGACAGCGGTAGCCAAGACAGATAGCGTCTCCACTGCGCACCCCTGTGCGTGCTAGGTACTGTTCTAAGCTTTGTGGACGTCTTTTATCCTACTTAATTCTCACAATGATTTTATGAGGCTATTTTTCTATTTTGTAGTTGAGGAAACTGAGATACAGAGAGGTTATATAATATTCATGATCTCTCCTGCTTGGAAAGTAGACAGGTTGGAGCGCCACTGGGCAGTCCTGCTTCTGGGCCTGGCCCCAGTCCCTGTGCAGCCTGGGAAGGACGGAGAGGCCAGCTGGCCGGTCACCTCCTGCCTGCCTTACCCTTCCCGTGTCTGCACTGTTAACTCCAGCTGTTTGGAGACTTCTTTTGTATTAAAGTAACATACATATTTTTTCTTATAAAATGAGTACATGGTTATTGTAGAAAAATACTAAATATAAAGATAGGTTTAAGAAGGGATTTTAGAATCATTCACCGCTCTATTGTCCAGTAGTAATTACTGTTACCCAAGTATGTAAGTGTTCTGTGCACACGTGTTCACGCACGTACCCACAGAGAGGGACACATCTGCATTTTATGAAATTTGTGTCATATTCAACATTATTTGGTAGCTTGCCCTTTTCACTTGACATTGAGAGGTACTAGAATAGAGTTGGGAAAAGGATTTGTGAAAAGGAGAGGAGGCCAGTCCTGGAACTAGAAATTTTGTTTCATTGGTTTGATGACGTTTTTAATTGACATGGACTTACAGAAAAGTGGGAAAATCACAGGTGTGCAGCCCGATGAATGTTCACAAAGCACACAGGCCTGGGCCTGGACGGCTGAAGTTCATGGGAGCACCCTCCAAAGATGACATTCTTTTGCCTCTTCCCACATCCCTAGAGGTTAGATTCAGATAAACCTCACGGGAGTGGCATCATCCTGTGTGTACTCATTCACGCCTGCGTTTTTGAACTTCACACATTAGACTGGTCCCTTCTGTGGCAAGTGGGTGGAAGTGGTTTATGGTTACATAATATCACATTCTGGGCATCTATGCAATTCGCTTTTCACTTTCATTTTAAATGGGTGTTTGGGCCGTCTTCAGGTGGGGACCCCTGAGCGTTCCCGTAGGGAGCATGAGCACTCATTTCTGTCCGTCCTGTTGGCCACAAGCAGCCGCCCTCTGTATGTACAGATCCCACACCTGCTGGTTCAAGCAGCCACCGATGGAAAGCATTTGGGAAAAAAGCAATAAGAACCCCAACACAACAATAAAAATAATACAGAAAATACTATTTACGTAACATTTACATTGTACTAAATATTACAAGTAATTTAGAGATGGTTTAAAGGCTACAGGAGGATGTGTGTAGGTTATATGCAAATACAATGCTATTTTATATCAGGGACTGGAGCATCCACAGATTTTGGTATCTGTGGGGTTTCAGAGCCAACATTCCCCACCCCCAATGCCAAGTGAGACTGTATCTAGTCCTGAAAGCCGGGCCAGCAGCCGGGCCAGCAGATACCTGGCTTTAGAGGTTGCCGCCATAGTTTTCCAAAGCGGGAGTGCCAGGTCACACTTCCCCCCCCCAGCAGTGCTTGAAGGCTCGGCCTGTGCTCGTTTTTACGGGCGGCCTGGAACTCCACGTTAGAGACGGACCACCACTCACTTTACCAGTCCCCTATTGCTGGGCACCTGGGTTCTTTATAGTTTTTGCTTTTATAAATAGATCAGGAATTAATGTTCTTACAAGTAAATCTTTGCACCTTAGCTTATTTCCTTAGAATAAATTCTTAGAAGTCAAGTATGCATATTTATAGTTATTTGGCTGGCCATCGCCAAACTTCCTACCCCAGGAAGCTGTAGCCATTTCTGCTGTGTTTCAGCAGTTGGCTCGCTTTTTCTATAGTGGGCAACATAGTAAATATTTTTAGTTTTGTGGGCCATGTGGTGTCTGTCACAACTACCCTGCTGTTCTAGCAGTCCCAGATACTATGTAAGCAGCAGGCGTTCCAGGAAAACTTTGTTTCTGAAAGCAGGTGGTGGGTGGATTTGGCTGGTGGGTCAGTGTTGGCTCAGCCCTGCTTTATTTAGTCAGTGGTTTCTGAGGGTTGAGGGCCCTCTAGGGAGTGGGGTCCATGGACCTCTCATGACAAAGTGCTCTCTCTCCCTATAGTGGGAACGTGTGCCCAGTAGGCCTTTGTCCCCCCTGCCACACGGAAGCCAGCGACAGGGCCGACAGCCCCCGCACGTTCAGGAGGGAGCAGTGGGTGTGTCCACGTGCACCAGGCGCCCCCTGCCGACTAACATGTAACTTTTTAAAATGGTCTAATTCTAGGAAATCTGCAGCTGTGAAGACAAACACAGGACCTGTTGAGACAAAGTTAAAAAGTGGAAATGAAAACTACGGCTACAGTTCTGATGACTGGAAGAGCACAGGTGAGGCGGGAGGTGGAAAGGGCTGGGCGTGGCAGTGTGGGGGAAGGGCCAGCTGCCCAGACGCACCACAAACGGGGGTAACTTAGCGATTGGCGGTGATTAGTTTTTGGATAATTTTTAGAAGAAGGAGGAATTCCAGAACTAGGAATATTCTAGGAGTAAGTTAATAGTAAAAATATACTTTATTATTATTATTTTTTTGTCTAAAGCTTTAAAAAAGTCAGGTGGAAATCTGAAAGTTTTAAATCATTTTTTTCTCCCCCTGCAATATTTTCTCTTTCTTTAGAGGCTTCCACCTGAACATGTGTGGAGGCATTTTAACACACTGGGGGTAATTTCCTCCAAACTCAATTAGATTCAAGTTTAATGAAACCTCAGCAAGAAATCTATTCTTCTTCCACTTTTGGGGGGTGGGGGGGAGAAGCTGGGAGACCAGACCTGCTTTTGGAGAGTCTTGCCGTATGTGACATCTCATTCTCCCGCCTTGAGACAGACCCACAATCACAGTGGGGAGGGGCGCCTCTGCAGACAACATCGCTGGGCAGAGGTGGCTTGGGCTTCCAAGGCTGAGCACATCCCTCTCCTTAAGGGAGACCCGGCCCTCGCACGCTGCCTGGCAAACAAGTTCCCGGAAAGATTTGCAGCAATGAGCTATTGATGAGGGGCCTGAGAACGTCTTTTTTCACTAACCTTAGGAGCCTATTCTTGGCAGCCTCATTCTCTTGATTATCCCACGGCCGCTTTCCGGTGTTTTCCTAATCACATGCTTCAGGGTTTTAAAGACTCCACAAAGCATGAGCCGTTCCCACTGATAATCGAGCACAGCTTCTCTCCGAGTTGCCCATGTGTGAATATTTATTCATTAGTATTTTCAGGCATTGACCAAGTATCTTAACCAAAATAATCGTGGCCAAGTCAAGCCCCTCTCCCCACTTGCCCAGTGCTTCTGTTCTTGGTTAGCTGTTGAAGCTGTGGATTCGTCTTGTCTCTGGGTAAAACTTAACGTGTCAAGAAAGGAACTGATTTTGAGTTAGTTTTCTACATTTCTATTTAACTAGAAAAAGTTGTAGATGTACGTGATCTCCAGGGAAGTTTTTTTAGTCTGTTTACGGTTAAGGGTACCTCATGACACGGATACTACATAAAAGTAAAGATGGCTCTTTAAGAATCAGGATTCTTGGACTGTGTCACTTGCTTTGTGTCACTTATGCCTTGAAAATCATTCCTTGTTGCAGAGATTGCTTCTCCCCCTCCCAAGTCCCAGGAAGTCAGCGTTCTGGAGCAGAGCAGCAGAAGCAATCATTATCAGGTGATCTAGACCATTTTCTCCTCTTTCTGGATTTTTTTTTCCCATTTAAAGATCCTTACCTTGAGGTGGGTGACTCTAAAATGGTGCAGTTGGTGCAGCTGTGATGGAAGAAAGTTGCCTCCCCCCGCCCCTTGTGTCCACTGGGCGGCTGGAGGGGAGGACTAACGCGTAGAGAATCCTTGCCCATTGGCTCCAGATCAAGACCAGTGCCATGTAACAGCTCCGCGTGCAGGTTTTGGGGGGACATGTCCCAGCTGAGTCCCAGTGAGACCCAGCAGTCTGGATCATGTGCCGTTTCTCCCTTTGAGCCACGTTCTCCCAGGACTCCAGCCAGCTCTGGCCTCCTGGTTACCTGGCACCACACAGCGTGCGTCTGTACTTGGATCCTCAGGGACATTGACTCATGGAAGGATGCTGGGTCCTGGGTTTGAGGACAAGGACAGAGAAAATGTGCTTCCCTCTCCTCCCAAGATCTGTGTCAGGGAGCTGGAGAGCTAGAAAGGTGCTAGGGGTTAGAATTGTAGGGAGAGAGGAGGAGTCCCCTGTGATTAAGGAATGTGGCCAGAACCAGCAGGAGGCTGGGAGCTGCCACTAGCTGAGCTGGGGGATGTGGTGGGAAGCGTGTGTTTCAGGGGAAAGAGCAGATGTTTCATTTGGAGCTTGGAGATTTTGAGGTATCTGTTAGACATTGACGTGGGGACATGGAGAGTGGGGTTGGAGGCACTAGTCTGGATCCCAGGAAGGAGCCCCCAGTTGGCTGTCATGCAGTGTTCTCATGGTCCTGTCCCTTCCCAGGCCGGGCACTGAAATGAAATAGTCAGCTGGGAAGCCCTCAGGACATTGCATGAAATTTTCTGATAGAATCAGCACCGCTTATCATACATGCATGAATGAGAGCTCGTATGCAGAAATGAGACACTTTAATATCCCAAATCATATTAGATAAAATCTACATGACCAGCACCCTTTTCTGTACAAATGCAATCTTGAGCAAGAAGCATTTCCACGCAGTTCTGAGGTGCTGCCCCCAGTAGGTGTGGACGGTCTCCCCTTGTCACTTTTAGAAAAGTCCAACTTGAGACTGGATCTCTGAGAGCACGGGACCAGGCAGCTCGGGGAGTTCTGCCGGGAGCTGCTGCCTGAGGGGACGGGGCCCAGCATGTGCTGCAGGAGCCCTGCCTGGTCATCCCGGAGCAGGTGCAATGTTCCTCCTTGCAATTAGGAGTCAGCTTAATGCCGGCATCTTGCCGTGACGCATCCCCTCAGGCCCTTAGGTGGGGAGAGGAGGGGACTGATGCTCGATCACGTGTCAGGAGGACCTACGTGACGTTATTAGTGGCTACACAGACAGCCAAGAGGAAAGACGTATGAGGGGTCTGGGATGCAACGAAGACGGGCCTCAGCGCTGGCTCCTGGTATGAGTTCTAGCCACGCTCCTCAGACTGGGTGTCAGGAAAGTGGCAGGTCCGTTTCTTTCCATCCAGGCTGCCCTCTTTGGCTCATTTGTCTGCAGATGCTTTTGATTTGGGGCTGGGAGGGTTGACATTAGAGTGCAGCAGGTGTCCTTCAGGAGGACCAGGCTCCGGGTCAGAGGCCGGGGAGAAAGGGAGTGATTGTCATGCTGGGAGGATGTCATGTGTCCAGTCTCCCCTGGCCGGGCCTGGCTGGGGGTGGCAGGGTCACATAGGGGCATAGTTGGCTGAGGGGCCTCTCTCCCACCCAACTCCAAGTGGACACCCCCAAACACATTTAAGCCAAGTGTTCTTTCTGTAGCCTTCCTGTGTTACCTGTTTGTGTGAGATGTGTTTCCATTAGAAGCCTACATGGTCAGTTCTGGGGTGTCGGGGAGCAGGTGGGCTGGGAGGAGATTCGGAAGAGGGTCATGTCACATAATTCCCTTTGAAACACTTTGAGCGTAAACAAGGAGGGGGAACTCTAGATGCCTTTGGGTACAGGGATGGCGAATGACGTTTCGGAACTGAGTGGATGCTTCGTAAAGCTTGTAGTGTTGTTTAGAAGATACGCAGGAGAGAAATTTAAGAGGTTTCTGCTACTGAAACATGTAACCAGCTAAATAATCCATTGGTGGAAAAAGAACTGTGGTGCTCAGGTGCGGAGCCCTGGGGACTGGGGACAAGCCGGGCTGCTTCCCAAAGTGTTTGCGAGTCTTCCCGCGTAGCTCGGTCTTGGCAGAGCAGTGAGGGCCCTTAAGGAACTAATCAGGACTCCAGAAGGTAGAATGGTCTTTGCCTGAAACTGGTGGGAGTTGTTAAAAAGCTGGACCTCTCTATTACAGAGGGGACCTTTCTATTATAGGGGGACCTCTCTTTTATAGGGGGCCCTTTCTATTATAGAGGGACCTCTCCTTTATAGGGGGTCCTTTCTGTTATAGGGGGACCTTTCTATTACAGGGGGACCTTTCTTTTGTAGGGGGTCCTTTCTATTATAGGAGGATCTTTCTATTATAGGGGGACCTCTCTTTTATAGGGAGTCCTTTCTATTATAGTGGGACCTCTCTTTTATAGGGGGCCCTTTCTATTACAGAGGGACCTTTCTATTATAGTGGGACCTTTCTTTTGTAGGGGGTTCTTTCTGTTATAGGGGGACCTTTCTATCACACACATACACACACATACATGTGCATGCATACATACATACAGACACACTCACCAACACACACACACACAGACGCCTCCCAGGCCCAGAGCGGGTGCCCAGCAGGAGCCCTGCCTGAGAAGCCACTCATTAGAGTTCAGGACTGCCTACTAGAGATTGCTACTCAGCTCTGGTCCTGAAAGCCGGTGGATTAGATGCAGAGGTCCCAAGCTGTGAGTCAGCTACAGCAAATGCCTTGCCGGCCTGGCGCTGTGGAGCGAGTTCGTTGATGAATGGCCTGTCCATGGAGACGCAGTGTGCGTGGCTCCTGCTCTGTGAGCAGGTCTCCTGGCGGACGGTCTCGTCCTGCGAACAGCACAGCAGCCGTGGAGCCTGTGCTTGCTCTCCGTGTGTGCTGGTGCTCTCCTCCGCCGCACGTGGCCGCCAGTCTGTTCTCGTTGTTTTCAGAAGGTCTATACCCATGGTGGCCTTTGACCACACGCAGTCTAGCACAGCCTTCCCAGGTGCTCAGGAGACAGTTGTCATTAAAAGGCAGACCTCCCATGCCCAGCAGCATGCTGCAGTGAGCAAGGCGCGTTCAGGAGCCCATGTGCGCTCACAGACACAGCTCCTTCACTCTTAACCACAATCCAGTTACGACAACAAGTTTGATTACGCCATCATAGATGACTATACAACCTAAAAGTAACACTGTGTTTTGTGTCATTGAAAAAAGATTAAAAAATTCATATCAAATGTCCATTGCACACCCCCCCCCCCCAATGGTCTGGGCACTTTGGTTTTCTCTGAGGGTCTGCAGGTTAAAGATCCCCACGGCAGGGGCAGCGTGATGTGCCAGGGCTGCCCATGGCAGGCAGCGAGGAGGCCTGTGGGATGCGTGGAGCTGTGCTTCACAGCCTTGGGCATTCGGGCTCAGATGGGCTGGGGAGGCATCCCAGCATCTCTGCTTTTTGGTAAACTCGATGCAGTTATGACATGAGATCAGGTGTAAGGGTTGTTGGTTACTTCCCAGCAGGATGGGAATATGGGATTTCTGGAAGGGAAGAGTGTCAGGTCCCCAAACACCAATCTCCCCTACTTTGCAGCTTTACAACACTCAGCAATTCCCACCCGCTTGCCGTCCCAGGGCACTTGTGATAAGCTGAGCTTGACTGCACTGGAGAGGCTTGTGCTGGGCCCTCCTAGGGGCTGACGGTGCCCATGTTCTTGTCCCCTCTGTCCAGAATCCCCTGGTTGCCTATAAGCAGAGGAGAGGCCAGATGCTGAGCCTGTGGGTCTGCAGTGGCCCCAGCTCAGGGCTGTGCACGGTTCTGCGTGGAGCAGGCAGTGTTTCTGGGTTCCTTGTGGTCCCACTTTCAAAGCCACATCCTCCCCCAGGCCCTCCTCCCTGACTTCTCACACTGTGGTCTATACCCTGAGCCTGCTGTGGGCCTCTGCATACTACATCTGTATCAGGAATCACCGAGCACAGTTTTAATTACTAAAACAGGAAACTAGAATTTTTTTTTTTTTTTTTTTTTTAATGAGGAAGGCTGGAGTATAGTGGAGGCATTATAACTCACTATAACCTCCAACTCCTGGGCTTAAGTGATCCTCCCTCCTCAGCCTCCTGTGTAGCTGGGATTACAGGCACCAGCTAACATGACTGGCTAATTAAAAAAAATAAATAAAAGTTTTGTGCAGAAGGAGTCTGGCTATGTTGTCCAGGATGGTCTTGAAATCCTGGCCTCAAGTGATCCTCCCACCCTGGCCTCTCAAAGTGCTGTTGGGATTACAGGCATGAGCCAGTATGCCTGGCCTGGGATTTTTAATATTTTAGGAAGGGGTAGAAAACTTCATTAGCTGCTGCTCCAGCCTCCCTTGACTCTTGCCCCTTCAGTGTCCTTTGGTGAAGGTCCAGAAGGCCATGGAAGAAGCAAAAAGAGCTGTGGGGGTGAAACCCTTTCTCAACCCTTTGTTATGTCCTGTTTCTTCTAGTCCAGCTGTCCCTGGGGAGCTTCAGAAGGGTGGGGAAGCGTCATACGATAGACTGCGGGTTGGAGTTTTGCCCCACAGAAGGCCAGCCACTGTGGCCAGGATCTCTGAGGATGGCGGCTGATGCCAGTCAGGTGCCCTGGTGATGCTGGGCTGCAGACAATGTGGAGAGGCACCAGCTCCAAGCACTTGGTCCCCCGTGCATCCTGGAGCCCCCTCTCCTGATCACGCCACACCCTCCCCTCTCAGGTTCTTCCCTGAATATGGGACTTTCTACTGGAGAAATGGGGCAGAGTCCTTGTTCCCACCAGCACCTGGCAAAGACCAGTGATGTGTTTCCTGAATCCTGGATCCTAGTTTTCTTGCTGAACATGGAGGTGGGCGTGGTACCTATAAACACCAGGGTGGCCCCTTGGTACCCCACCAGCTTATCAGGCATTCTCAGCACAGCACTGAACATGGAGGTGGCTGGGGTACCTATAAACACCAGGGTGGCCCCTTGGCACCCCACCAGCTTATCAGGCATTCTCAGCACAGCACTGTAGCACAAACACATTGTGTATTTATTAAAATGGACACTCCTGGGCCTTTTCCAGCTTTCTGGATCAGAATCTCTGGGAGATTTGGCCAAATCAGTATTTTTATCACCTCCCCCAAGTGATCTGCTTTGGGGAAAATGCTCTTCTATGGCCCAGTATGAAAACATAAGACACTGTAGTTTTGTTTCTAAGAGAGAGTATTCTCTGCTTTCTGGACATTTTCTTACAACCTTGAGTTTGGATTTACTTGTACATCATGTCCCTGTAACACTGATCTTGCTGCCAAGCACAGGGATGTGTCTGAGATGCTCACGGTAGAGCTGAGATCAGCGCTCAGGGAGAGGCCTCA